ATCACTGGGAGGGGGGGAAATAAAAGACGCGTGAATCACACGAGACTCACGTGTGATTCACGCGTGAAAGGCGACAAAACGGAATGGGACCTACTGTATTTGAGACGGATGAGGTCAAATGCAAATTAAGTCCAAGGTTCGGAAATGTCATGACTGCCTGACTGACATGCCTTTTTATATAGACTACATTTATGAACTCGATTATCATTACAGCCCTTTATACCAGAATCTCTATGGAAGACTCCCAAATTGTACATGCACCATTATGTTTTAGGATTAAACTATTACAATACAATCCTTGTCATCAGAACTGAGGCTGATGAAGGGTGCTCTATGTATCTCTTCTAATTAAGGGTTTGTGCTTGACTGTTTTTAATTTGAAAGTGACAATAATAAATACATATGATATATTAAATAATTGCAGGCTTTGTCATTTAAACCTTGTAGCGTTAACAAAAACCTGCACATTTGAAGTATCTCTTTTGGCTCACATGTCTAACTGCTTCTGCTTAAGGCTCTGAGTGACAGTCATTACTGCCCTCGCGCTCTCGTTCCCAGGAAGTGACACTTGCATGAGGACCAATCCTCAGCTGTCTCCTGCGTAAAGATGCTGAGGTTGTCAGAGCAACTGTCACCCAAGGCAACGGAAGCTGCAATCAGAGATAATGCAACAGAACAAAGTACTTGTCTATGGATTAGCAAAGCTGATGACTTAAGGTGACTTCCCTCTCCACACGCACTCCTCCCTCTCATCTGGGGGAATCCTGATGTGTTCCCAGGCCAGCTGAGAGATATCGTCCCTCCCGTATGTCCTGGGTCTGCCCCGGGAACTCCTCCCGGTGGGACATGCCCAGAAAACCTCCCCAGTGTCCAGGAGGAAAAATAGATGGATAGTCACCTCAGCAGCAAAGAGGAGACTTTTTATACATTTGAAATCTAAATAACTAAACGCTTCACTTTACATAACTGTAATTCATCAGTTACAAAAATTACTGACAAATTAAATCAGTAATTTGACTTTTTATCCAATAAAAATGAAATATTAAAAATACATTAGAATGGTTAAAGATTAAATAAGAAGAAGTAAGCTTTGGTGATCCAGTGAAAAATTTGCTTTCTTACTGATAAATATACAAATATATTACTATGATTTGTAGTTATTTATTGAACATTATTTTCAAGTAGAACTCTATCTACCACAATTCTCACAACAAAACATCTCGAGTTATACGGAGTCGAAGCTGGATTGCATTTTTAAACTATTCAATCGCTTTTAAAAAATTCAGTTAATCTATAACTGCAGCAATTCCAGTGACACAAACATTTCCAGAACAAGCTGGTATAAATCTGAGATAAAGCGTGGCAGGTTGTTTTTTTACGTAATAATGCAGCATGTAGACAGGATATTGCTCTCGCCAGAGGACATGACAATAACCTTAATAATTGCAGCTTTGGGGATGAGATTAGAAAGCAGCACAGTCCAACCGACAATTATAGCAAAGTACACTGCAGATGCACACCGACTCTTTGGACAATTGCAAATACTCTTTCAGGAATAAATTATATATAATGAGAAGCAGTGAAAATGTTGCTCACGTGCCAAAGAGCTAAATAGCTGACGTCTCTGGCAACAGCTTTAGAGATCAGAACTGCCTTCACACACTATTATCCCTTCAAGGAACAGAAAACGCTATGTTGCTTCAGTGGATGTGCCCACACTTCTGCGCACTTGCACGCATCGCCGTTTTAAATCCAGATTAGACACAAATGGGCTCTTACTGCACAGGCAGCAAGGAGAGACACTCTGAAACTAACATCTCTGCAACATGAAAGGAAATTATGCTTTCTGTGTTCGGGCGCCTCGTGACTGGAACAACCTTCCAGATTCCATTCGATCCCTCACATCCTTTCCTCTATTCTGAACGACTCTGTTAATACATCTTATGGACACTTGTCTTTGTTTGTAACATCTCATACATAGCTTAAATATATAATGTGTATTCAAAATTGTTTATTTATACGTGTATGGTATCTATTTATATGTGTATGCTTTTAGATATATGTATGCATGTCTATGCATATATGTATGTATGTGTGGATATATGTATGTACTGTATGTACTGTATGTGTATATGCATATGTGTGTGTATGTGTATCTGTTTATGTGCATGCGTGTATGAATATATACACGTATACACATATTAAATGATAACTACTGTATCTTACGACAATCTGTCTAAAGAGTGGGTAAGAGAATAGTGAGAGCTTGTGTGAGTGTGTGGCATGAGTGGTGTGTGTTCTAAGTATTTGTTGTATTATCATTATTATATATATTTTGTTGTTTTTTTATTACTGTCTATTATTATTGTTGTTGTTGTTATAACTATTTTGTTTTGTTTTGTTTTATTTGACTGTATCTACTCTGCTGTTCTATGATCTTTGGATTTGATCATGAGGACCCCCCACGAAAACGAGATGATACATCTCATGGGGTTAATCCTCCAATAAAATGTCCAGAAATAAATAAATAAACATGAGGACGAGCCAAGAGAGCTGCAGGAGAAAGATCATTGATCATACGCTTGCTTAGATAAATGCTTACTGTATTTTATGTTGTGCTGGTAAACTGCAAATTTAAAAAAATAAATTTTTATATTTTCTTGATATAATTAGGCTGGACAAGCAGATAACCAAGTCAGTAACTATTCGGCTTTTTAGGGGCTGATGCTATGTGTACTGGGTGCAGCTCTGACTGCCATCCCCCCGACCCAGAAATGGATTAAGGGGAAGAAAATGGATGGATGGATGGATGGATAATCGACTTTTTAATTGAATGTCCTTTTGAATTCAGTCCTGTGTCAGTGAAACAGCAAAGTGTAACCAGGCAGTTTGGTCAGAATAGGTCTAGCTTTTTGTGTTTTATTTTGTCTGAATCGATTAAATAAATAAATAAGATCACTTTGAAGAAGCTGCCATTGTATCTGCTAAATATTCACAATACTAATTAATTTATTAATGGATTTGAATCTTTAATCTGTTGTTGACACAACCATACGGCTCTTATGTTACCCCATTCCTGTTACAACTACGCATAAATATGTACACGATTGAAAAAGGTTGGAGACCCCTGCTCTAGATCAACAATTACATTAAGTTTTTTGTAATTTGATTTTTTTCAAATGTGATGAATATTTGAGTAAAAAAACATCTATGCCTCGTGTTGTATCATTCTCCAAAATGCAGTGATGTGAAAAGCACTTCTCTCTCTTACTGAATAATACATATGAAAAATAAAAGAAGTGTTTGAGAATTGCACTTTTCCCGTGACGGGCACATTGTCATGATATGCCTGGAGCCTTGTAGTTTATGTGTCAAAGCTAAATTTAGCAACAGCAAAGCAACAAGCAAAAAAGTCTGCTTGTCAAAGTCCTAAGCTGTGTGCGAGTCTAGGTGGGTGAGATCATCAGTTCAGTCCACTCATGGTCAAATATCAGCTATTTATTCCTCTGCAGCTTCTAGACAAGGTTTATATTGAGAGTAGAACACACTCCTGCTCTATTTATTAGGGATGCAACAAAGTTTTTGTCTCAGCCAGTACCTTTAGCTCATTATCAGCCTTCTACACCAATACAATTCTTCAAAGCAAATCATTTTTAAATATGCTCCTGCTTCGTAAATATATTGAGAATTTGTATCTGTTCTTTGAGTAAAAATTATACAGTTATATACATTGATAAAGACGTAATTTTGGCAGTGAAAGGGTGAGTAATATTTTCCAATGCAATTATAATGTATTATTAGCCTCATGTGCCACAGGACGGTTAGGTTGGATTTTAATTATGACTTTTATTAATTGTGAAAATGACATACAATGTAGGGACCTTATTAAAGAAATACCTTATTATGATATTGATAAGATATTATGATATTTTTGGCAGGTGAGGCCACTCTTGAAAAATTGTGTGAACAAATGTTCAATAACTTTTAAAAACTTTTTTATATGAAATAAGAAAGTAGAATGAGCCCAGACATACTCTCTTCTCTGACTGACTTTCCTGCAGCTCAGCATTTCACTGCAGTAGAAGTCGTCATGTCATACAATCTGCACAGGCAGTGTCTGCTCTTTGCCAAACTTCCACTCAACACTAGAATCATCAGCAGCAGCAGCAGCAGTGTATCAATGAGAAAGACACACAGTATCACCTGCCAAAGGCCAATGCCAATGCTTCTGCAAGTGCTGTACAGGCATTGGACCATATTGGAAAGATTAAAGGTTGCCAATATTTCCCAACAGCAAAAACTTCCTAAGGAAGCATTGTTTTCAGCCAAATTGACTTGGGTAGCTTAAATTTTAGTATTTAGTATTCATTTATGGACTCTTTCATTAGCAGATTTTGAAGTTGAAATTTAGTAGATAACATGCATAATTTACAACAAAACATAGTGTGAGAACAATAGTGATCTTCAAAAGAACATCAAGCAAAAGTACAGTATCTGGTGACCTGGGAGAATATGGTGATGACCTTTGTAGGACAATATTTATCAACCCATCCCTGCTGCACAATATAGTAAATAAATGAGCTCTGCACTAGTGGTGTCAAGACACAGTGTCATGATAAGCCTAAATATTGTGATATTATCCTTCCCCAAAGAATTGTAAATGAGAGTTATAACTACAGTGTTTACTGTACTCTTCTCCCGTTGTTTTTTACTCTTTCCAACCGCTGTATCAAGTCTGGAGGCCCTTGCATCTACTACAGAAGCAACAGGCATTAAAATGTACATGATTATTAGTAAGCATAAGTATTGCACATCAATGCAGTAAGCAAATATTAGAACATTCAAAAATTCAGTTAACAGTTTTTCAATATACTGTACAGCCTTAATCCCTTTCGCTGTGAAAAGACACATGTTAAAGAAAACATAGTGACAAGGGGGACACATGTGCAGAAGCGCACTCACACTCGGACAAAGTGGTAGAGGACAGAGGAGGTAAATACCAGTGCAGGTGAAGGGATGTTTCCTTTGGGGCTGGTGACTATGCTGTTTTTGGTGCTGTTTGTCTGGGGCTGTGCAGGAGGAGGAAAGACAAGGAAGGAAAGGAGAGACACAGGAGAAACCACAGTGTTAACAAGAGCAAGGAATAAACATGACACAGACCATGCAAGTAATACCAGCAGTATCTCCCCATATTTGACATGAGAGGGCAGGGCATAGAGAAGACTGCATGATGGACAACGCTAAACTACCAGCTCAAGGAAGCCCAATAAGAAAATACTCTTGGACAAAATGTTTATGTTATGCTTATTCACGTTTTGGCTCATATTGACTTGTCGCACTCCCCATTTGGGGTTAAAAAAATCCATGGGTTAGTGCTCTCTGGGGGTGTTTTTTTACACTGTTTTTGTAAATCCACATTTGATTAGCCCTAAAAACAAACAAATCAGGTGCCGTCTGTCTCTGAATTTGGCTTTAGCTAGTGAGTAGCACGAGAGATGACAGACCGGCGCCACTCCTGATTGGCTTTTGGTTGCTTGATCGAGGTACCCACAAATTTGCATCAAGTCAGTGCCAGATTCCAATTAGCTCCAATTGACTTCTTCCTTAATTATGGGTGATTTCAGCACTCAGTCAGTCCATTACTGCGGCCTACGGAGCAAGGCCTAGTCATACGGGATACATTCACACTAAAGTATATGTGATCCTGGTTTGTCCAAGTTTTCATATAAATCCAATACATTTTTGTACAGCCCTAGATTGCAATTGCAATGGTCTATGAGGACTTTAGAAAGTTGTTGATTCGCCAGCAACAGATCCGAGAATCAAACGGTTCGAAGACCGTTGCACTGATAATGAATACATATCCTTCGGTCCATAGAGTAGTCGGATGACTAATGTCCATATGGTGTAGCCCTAATCTGGATTTGGAACAGCAGGATAATGCCATTTCTTTGATTAATAAAATCATTTACCATTTTTGATTTAGTGAGAAGCTTTCAAACATCTTCATATTTATATTGATAGTCAGAACTGTTTACCAAAGTATAGTACAGACAGCAATGTCACAACAAAGAATAAGTCAAAAGCCTATAGGTCTGTGCATGAATATTAAGCAGAAGTGCGGTATTGTGTGCAACTGAGAACCCAAATTCAGACAAAGAAAATAGTGAGACGATATAATCAAAATGTTCAAATGTTCTGCCCCATCAGAACTCCTCAAATAATCTTGTTTCTTTTTCTTGTGGAGTGCCGATTCAGAAACATAATTAAACTTAATAATACATAGAGGTATCAAATAACTCTTGCTGAGGCTGTTGTGGGTTTTGTTGATTTCTATATGATTTCATAATATGAAGTAAGGAAATCATTGTCTCTTTGTGCAAGGATATAATCTACAGTATCTTAGTGTCCTCTGTAAAAGTGGTGACAACATTAGATGACAAAAGGCTACATGACAACGTTTAAAAGACTAAATAGCAAAGAATAGCACACAGTCACATGTTCAAACACACAAAAGAACTGGAGCAAACGTATTACATTAAAGCTGCACTATGTCGCACTGCTGGAGGTTCTGCCACCCGCTTGTTTCTATTGAGATGTTACTGATTCATTGAACATATTTTCCCTCGCTAACAGCACTCAAAAGAATAATCCATCATACCAATATGGCACTCGCATCATACTTATATATCATAGCCTCAGCCGCCCCACTGTGGCACCTGGTGTTCCCAGACGTCTCCCATCACAGTACTGTCCAGGTCTTGTTCTGATGAGATACTGTGGGACCTACCTAACATTCAAATGGTTGAAATTAAACCAGTCATGAAGTCCTGCTTTTCCTTGGACTTTCTCTTCTCTTTTAAATTCTTTACGTTGTGCTTGTCGAGTTATTGTTTGCACTGTTGCCTAACTGTGTGTTTGTATGTTACTTAGGACAATGGATTCAATTCAGCTATTGTGCTAATTACGGCATATTTCTGTTGACGCTGTATTAACCCTTTAATGGTTTCCTCAACCATTTGGTGGATCCATTTTTGAGTCACTTTATCTGCTTGAAGCTTGGAACTGAAATCTGCCTCACTGGAGCATCTCTATCACTTAGGCGCTTTTTAGGCACTTTTATTGTACCATCAAACTGCATCTCAACCATTAGGTAAAGGCCTGTATTAAAACAAAACAAAACCTAGGGTTTAATAAATAACTAAAAACATAAAAAAACTTATTATTTGTATTACTAGTACTCATATATCTTAGAAAATCTAAAATGTTGCATTGCTCTCGTCAAAGAGTAAACATTAAAGGGTTAATATGATTTTTTTTGTTTTTTTTTATAATTTAATAATCAAAAAAACCGTCTGAGATCTGACAGGATCAAGCTTTCACAAGTATAACCAAGAAGTTAGTTAGCCCACAACTGATGAAAGACCCTCCAGCAGAAAACACAGCGCATCTTTAAAGTTTTAAACTGAAGAGCAAGAAGTGAGAAGAGATTCAGGATGGACTGGCAGGAACTGGGAAGTCACAGCAGAGGTCTTGGACGTTTTTTAATTCTTAAAGTTGACATGATACAACCCTACAAAAATGGTACTGAATACATGAAAAGGCCACAAATATTTACGGTGGAGCAGGGATGTATAATAGGTGGTGCTAAAAGCAGGGAAAAGGAGAAGGAAACACTCAAAACACAAAAGGCACGTTGCTCACCATGTACTGGACAGTTGAGCTGGACTTGCATGTCTGTGGTGAATTGTTAGATGGAAAAACAAAAATGGGGGAAGGAAAAGTATCTGATGGTAAATGGTCAATTTTATGATGCTTTAAACATCTTTTTAAAATGTTGCTGTCACTTTGGGTTGACAAAAACGTTGCCATAATTCTGTAACAAACAATTACCAACTTTTACCCAATTGTCTCTAGGGTTTGTTCAGATATAAACAAATTAGATAACATGTTAAAAATACCAAAGGCTTGAACAGACTAAATTATCATAATATCATAATGTAATCATCATAATAATCATCAAGTGTGGAATTAGGCACTTTAATGAATAATTCTGCTATTTTTAGTTCAACTGAAAAAACTATTTAGAAAAAAAAGTTATACTGGGATAATCCTGTGATGCAATTATGTCAGTGGCATATAAGAATTCAAATATATATTATCAAAAACCTGTTGCACATTATTCTTCAGCGCTGAAGTTGAAAGGGAGGAAAATGTGGGAATAGAGGTGAGTTTCAAAGAACACCGAGGGATTCAAGCTTTTAAAAAAAAGTGAAAGTAAGAGAAAGAAGATGTCTTGGGAGGTTTGGGGTGCTCGTGTAGGGAGTCTGTTGCTAGGCGATGAAGCAGCGCAAGTACAAGCATCTATTTCTGTCATGCGAGTTTCCAGGGTCCAGACCGGCAGCTATTCCTGGAACGGAGAGTCGCATTCCCGGCTGCAGGCGACGCGAGCGTGCGCAGCTGCAGGAGGGGGGGATGTATACCACATACATGCGCGCCGTTTCTTGTGACAAATATATGTAGCTGTTTATTTTATTTCTAAAAGAGGCTAAAAGATGATGTACGGAGCTAAGAAAAGCCACGGCGGAGACTCGAGGTGATTGTGGCGGTGAGGGTGCATGCGCGCTGAGGATGTTGAGTGGGATGTGTTACTGCTGCGGTGTGGATGCGTGCGTGGGATGCACCGAGGGTTTTGTTATAAGGGAAGATGAGGAGAGGGAGGGGGAAAGACCAGATGGGGTGAGCAGGAAACGGGAAGGGCATGGAAAGGCATTAAATGTGTATACAAATGTGTATGTATTTACTGGATAGAGGGAAAGATGGGAAGTGATAAGAGAAAGGCAGCAGATGGTTGTGCTGGGCAATGGTTACAGATGGAGATGTGACAATAAGCTGAATAATGTTGCAGATGTTTTTGTATAGCACATATATTGTGTGATTAAGTGTTTTATACATGGTTTCATTGATGTACCCTGACCATATACAGCGACAATATCAATCTGGTTTGGATTGTGTCTATATTCTTGTTGAGATGTACATGACCAAGTAAACTCATTATAAGAAGACACCTGAATCTCGTCCACCACAGACTTTGCATTTAAAGCCGGGGTATCAAACTTTCAAACTGCAAAAATGGAATCTAATCCCTCTATAAAAAGTGTGGTTCTATCACTAGTTTTCATGTGATTTTTGTTGACATCTGTCACATCTGTGGATCAGATAGGAAAAGACTTTTTTTTTCATGGTCATTTCTGACATTTCACTTTCACAAGACTTTCCTTTCAGAACAAAAAATACCCCAGCTTTAAACATGACGTATTGCGACACAATAACAGTTTACACACAATGCACAATAAGGTAAGTAGACTGTGTGGGCAGAACACACAGCATGTGTGGCGCTTACCTTGACATCTGCCTTTTTGTTCAGCAAAGTCTTGGCTGCTGTAATGATAAGAACACGGCGAACAGTGAGAGGGCATGAACAAAACTAACAACTTCTTATTCAACAGTTCTACAGTACATCATAATGGAGCTCTGATTGCTAGTGTCTGTTGGGATTCTTTAAAAAGGTTGTTCAGAACTAAAGCGGAACGTCCAAAGTAACTCTTCATTTATCGATTAACTATTGAACTTTAAATCTAAAGTTTTGAAGAACATGTAATTAGACCAAGAGGTTTGGCATCGAAATAACTTAATTTAGTTCTCAGGTTAAAGATGCTTGTACTTGCTCAACATTACATATGTGTGTCACAAATCTGGTGCTTGGAACAAGAAACGTAATTGGATTTGATGGAAAGAAGTTGAAAACTAAATTAGGAATTAAATGTAATCATTGAAAAAGAACCTAGAAAAAATGTGGCTATTGATCTCAAATTTAAAAATCTGATCTGGCATAAAAGGGTTACTCCGACAGTGATCAGCATTCATTAACAGCATATTAGAACTTTCAAATGGATCAAACCCATTTACTTTGCATTTAACTTTCATCATAATCATAATTCCATACCCTCAGCAGCTTAAGTTGTTGTCAGTGAAATTAAAAAAAGCCATTATTGTATAATGCACTGGTGGGATTCCTCTTTGTGCCCTTGAGGAAGAAGTGAAACAAGAAGATGGCGGCTGCGAGAGGAAGTCATTCAGAGCCCATAAACCGTGCCTGAAGGACCGACAGCAGGATTACTGTGGTCTAATGAAGATGATACTGAAATGTACTTCCATAATGACTGTATTAGCCCTAATCCGCTAGCATGGAGGAAACTGGAATAAAAGAACTTTAGTCAGTCTAGTGTGGAAGCAGAATACACAACGTACAGCGTTAACTTGGCATGTTTTCACTAATCGTCCGTGATATTTGAACCAAAAATTGTATATTGATGTTTGATTGCAATGATACAATTTAAACAAACTGCAGAAACCACAGAAATCAACTTTAAAAGTAAGCAATACTGTTTTGTTGTGACAGTATAAGAGACATCATGGCACTATGTTTGCAACTCAACTTTTAGTTTGACCGTAAATGTAAATTAAGTGCAGCTCAGTTATAATTGGGGCACATTACCAGGACAGACTTTTCAGCTGCAATCAACCAGTTTTTTTACTTTGAAGTTTGTGATGTCACATGAACAACTAACAAAAAAATGACAGTCTACTGCATATTGTCTTGTTTATATTAAAAACGTGGTCAATTTGCCTTTGTCTTCCTGTTCTTTCTGCTCTGAACGTTATACAATTTGTTGAGCATGGTTATAACTTTCCTAGATTACATGGGTGGACCTATATTTGAGCAGCTGTCACCTCCTCACAGCCGTAGTCCTGCCTCCTGGACTTGAGCCTTTTTGGGACTGTGCGCAATTTCAGACTAATCAGAAGCAATCACATCAGCAGCCCGCCATGTTACATAAAACACTATTTCTGGCTGTATCACATATTGCTACTTTTTCCTCACTTCCCTCCTCCTTTATTTATATCCATCGCTGGTCTCCTTAAATATGACTTGTGCTGCACAAGATTAACATTTGATTAGGGTTGTCACAAATTAAGATTAAGAGATCCTTTATTTGTCCCACAGTGGGGAAATTTCGGCCTTGCATCACAAGTTATAGTACAGTAGGAAAGAGGAGCACACAGCACAGGTTAAGTGAACAATATAGCTATACTAATTAAAATAAAACAAAATCTCTAACTCTAACATCAATAATAACTATAAAATCCCTATCTTGAAAACAATAATAGATGTAAAAGTTTAACAATTGGCAAAATAAGAGGCAAGAATAAAGTACTGTGTATTCTAGAGCAAGTAAAGTGTAGTTATATGTTAGTTATAGTTCATTGATTAATTGCAACTAATTGATAATTGAATTAGTTGAAGTTTGCCGAGAAGAGGATTTATGACTCAGATCATTCTTAACTGACAGCAGAATTAAATTAAAATGTTTACATATGTGTGTAATAAGTGTTGTCCAGGAGCGTCACATGATAATTTTGATAATACATTAAATCATTAAAAATAATCAAGAGTGTTTAAGACCACTAAAAAACAAAAATGATGACCTGCTGGTCCTTAAATACAAATGAAATCAATAGAATCTAAACTTGGTGTAGGAGAACTGAGCACTAAATATATTTTCTGTAACCTAAATAATAATCATGATTAAAGGCAATGTCAGTAATTTTGTGAAGATCGGTCAGAAATTGTGTCAATCCTTTTAAGACCTACAGTGCTATGTTTATCAATTGTCCTACCTGGTTACATTTTGAATAAATAAAATAAATATTCTAGTATTTTATTCCATAATTCAGAACCACATTTAACCCTGTTACACTCAAATGGAACCCTCTCCTCTCTCCCTATTGTCATGCGGTCCTGTCCCTCCCTATTCCTTTTACAGTTAAAATGGTCGGACGACCGACATATATATATATATATATATATATATATAATATATATATATATATATATATATATATATATATATATATATAGCGTATAGCGTATATATATATATATATATATATATATATATACGCTACTCTGCAAATCTACAAGAGCTGCATTTCAAGTGTCAGTATATTTTCTCTTTTGATGCAAACATCCAAGTTACATGCCATATCTGAATCCTCAATATTTGCGCAGATGGTTTTCAAATGTTATTTTCTGACACAAGTGATATAAGATTTAATGCCATAGCTTCAGATGCTAATGTCCTCGTTCTGGCCTAAATATTCCACCCACTAACAGCGAGCATGACGATGAACTCGTGTCTCAGATGTATATTTTATGGACAATGAATTATGTAATAAAATTATGCACATGTACAACAAGTTTAAAAGGTTTTGATTCCAACATTGAAAAGTAAACTTCCGAAGACTCCTGAAAAACAAGTTTAACTTTCATGTGAAGAAACACTCTCCTTACCTTGGCACAAAATAGACAGAGAGCAAGAAAAAAAAGGAGGGAGAAGTTAAATCTAAAGTAGCAGAAGATTATATAGTTTAGAGATGCATCACTGTGAGAGCAAAGCAAGGGCAGACATGGACTTCACCAGGATCTCAATCTGAGCACTACTTTAAGTCTATTCTTGCCAACGTTTGCCAATGGGGAATCCACGTTTGTATGCAAGATATAGCAAGGTCGGTGGTGAGGGTGAGCCAGTTTGAGCCTGATGAGCAGCGGCAGCCCATTATAAATATTTGATTGAAGTCTACTGCAGGCAGAGGGACACAAGGAGGACTGCAGGATCCCACAGGAGAGAAAAATAAGGACAGCACCTCCTCTGCACACAAGCTACAGTCACGTGAAGATTTAGAGCAGGGCTTCTTTAACTGGACAAGTCCAGCTTTGGGCTGGTTTAGATCCGTTTCTTGAGGTTCTGTTCTTGAGATATAATTTATTCATGGGAGAGGCGGCACTTGTGCACATATGTTTGTGCTCCGATTATTATGTTGCGATGACTAAATAAGTCACTTTCATTCATTCAAACAGTGTTGTGCTGTAAAACTTTTTGAAAAGTAAAGTCCAGCAAATGTGCCAAAGGTTACGTGGAAAACACTTTAGCTTTAGTTTTTGATGTGTAGCCTATCCGTCAATTTCCACTCATTGTAATTGTTTTAGAATCACTACAGTTGATGAACCAGTTAATCTGGATATCCCTTTGGTTTTTGTTGCTTTAGAACATTCAAACCACATTTGATTCGCTTTCATAATACAGTATTTTAGTGGATGCAATGGCATAAGTTCCTACTATATAGAATCCAAACAGTGAGCCATGAGCAGGTAGCATTCAGGCCTCAAAAGGTTGCGGGTTCAATCATGTGCTGACCCGGGCCTTTCTGTGGGCAAGGAAACAGCTCTTAATGAAATATATTCTCCACTTTGAGACATTTGATTTGGAGTGTTGGACTGGCCAAGCGAAGAGAAGTGCTTTAAAACATGAACTTAAAACATGAGTTTGAATCCACCCAGGCCTTGCTTCGTCCACAGAGTTCACCATGCACCACACCCTTGTTTGACAGCGCATGCAGCTGTCCAGTGCCCCATGCAGCATTCACCAACAGGCCTTTTCATCTTTTAAGTGACTGGAGGAACATTGCAGTTATTTTCAAGAGAGAGAAACAAGGAGAAGAAATAGAAGAACAACAAGGAAACATGACAGAGAAGAAGTTGTGAGATGAAAGTGATCTGTATGTAAACAGTTTTGTATGTAGAACAGTTACTATAATAAGAGGAGGCAAAAAAGTGGGACTGAATATGTAGGGGAGCGAGAGGTCTCCGGAACACTATAAAGCAGGATGTGTGCGCCTGTGTGTGCGCCTGTGTGTGCGCCTGTGTGCGCCTGTGTGTGTGTGTGTGTGCGTTTATGTGTGTGTGCGCCTGTGTGGAAACATGTAAAAAAGTAGAGAATTGAAAATATTTTGGGTAATATTATGTCATCCATAAAATAAATTGTCATCTGAAGTGTAGCTAGCAGATTGGAAGAAGACACAATTTTAGAACTTGTATGACAAAAGTTTAATAATATTACTTATTCAATTGCTATTATTTTAATGATCTAAACACACAAACAGCTATAGCCAGAGATAGAAATTATGAATGTGGCCCCCATGCGGATGTGCTCCCATGCTGAGAGAGAGAACAAGAGACAGGAGAGGAGTACGAGGGGAAACAGTAGCAGGAGGGGCATGGGGCAGGAGGCCAGGAGGGTAGGGGTGGCATGCCCTGTGTGTGCCACCAGTCTACCTTGTTCCACCAGGCCTGCGGTGGTGCCGGCAGCCGCTGCCACAGCTGCAGCAGCTGCAGTCACTGAGGCTGGAGCTGTGGTCTGCCTACTGCCCACTGGAGCCCAGGCACAAGAGCAGACAAGAGATCCATGAGGTGCACGTCAAGAGGAGAGTGGGGGCAGAAGCAAGGATAGAGCCAACATTGATTAAAGATATACAGCAGGTTATTATTATTAGCAGATGTGGAACACAGAAGCTGCGACCACACAGATGTTCTCACTTTATAAAGCAGACGCTTGAGATAAACGGGTGTGAAATTGACAATTCAAGGATATTTCTGTCATAAACAAAGACCCAAAAATACAAAATATTTTACATAATTAAATGATTATTGCTAACAAAATGAAAATACTTAAGTGTGGACTTAAAAGTTAAAGCATTTGAAGATCCTGCAAAAGTACAATAAATGTTAATAGTGTTGATGGTGATCACGACTTCACGGCTTTGTCCTTTTCTGTTTGAGATGCGCAACATAACATTCTTTGATCCGTTCGAAAGAAGACTTTCACAGCTGTAAGTCAGTCCTTCTAAAGCTGCCTACTGCTTACTCATACTCATCTGTAAATAGACAGATGAATTAGTATGTCTTCATGTGACTGGCGGCTAGTCTATTTGAAAGCTTTGAATCCGACGCATTCTGATAATCTCACACTCAACGTAAGAAGTATGAAAATGATGTGTATGTGGGGCTGACTCATGCATGTGAGGGCAGTTTGTGTTTGCAGAGCTTACAGAGGCAAAACAGCTGCTCTGAATCTGAAGCAGCAAGATTAGAGCACAGACAAAATGAACATATATACGTTTAGGCTTAAAACAGGACTAACAACTATTACTGCTTATTTCACTGACAACAACAATTTGACCACCAAATGGGATATTGACTTTTGGATCCCCCTATGTTTATTATACAGTAGACCCATGTACAATGACATGGATAAGATGTAAAATAAACTTTTAAGCCTCGTTTTAATACACAGACAGAAAAGACACTGAGTTGGCGATGCACTTTAAGTGCTCATCTGAGCGTGAATGTCACCACAGGTTACACACACGTTACATGTGTAAAGATTTTGACTGTGGCCATTCAAAACAGGGAGATGTAACACTGAATGTGCATCGACTCATGGGATTGACATGCTTCATAAGCTTTAAGCAATACAATTGCATCTAAAATGACTATTAAAGACTATTAAAGACACTTGAGAATACCATTTGCAAGACACAGTAACTCACCGCTTTCATAATCTCTTCATCTAATGAACAAAATGTTGTGCTCCATTCTAATTTTGTAGCAGTGATATGAATAATAGTGACAGGTTCACACAAGAGGGTACAAGTCATTCATTCCACACTTACCAGAGAAATTTCTAGATACCAGCATGGTTGTGAGAATGGCTCCCTGAAAGACAAAAAATATTCACTTACACAAGAAATGAAGCTTGCACAAGCAGAACACTGTAAGACACTGTTAATTATTGTTTTTAACATCCATCCATCCATTTTCTTCCCCTTAATCCATTTCTGGGTCGGGGGGGGGGGGGCAGCAGTCAGAGCTGCACCCAGTACACAGAGCACCAGCCCCTCACTGATCCTCCTGCAGGTGGTGAGTCCACAAGAGCTGAGATCTTTCAGTGGGGGCTTCAGGCAAAATGGGGTTAAGTGTCTTGCCCAAGGACACAACGACAGCAGTCATCAGTGGGAGTCGTGAAGTAGGTCTTATGGTGGATTTGAACCTACGATCCTCAGGCCCAAAGGCCAATGCTCTACCAACTGAGCTACTGTCGCCCCGACAAAAAAAGATCAAAATGGTTCTTGATGATTGAAACTCATCTGAATGATTAATTAAAATATGATCAACTGCACAGAACTTCCCTAAAGGTGAATAATAATAATTAGATTAGCAATTGATGATTTGGTTCACAAGGCACAGAGCTATACGTTCTGATAAAGGATCAACACAAAGAAGAAGCAGGAGGGTGTAAAGACAATGATGATCTGGGATATTTATGCACATTTATTAGCATTTATGAACATTGGTCAACTAGCTCCCAATGGCTCCTATGTGTTTGATTGTTTGATCCTCTGATTTGTTGTTGCTAAATCGACAACTGCCAATGTGATTCAGGAGTATACAAAGATCAATGTAATAGAATTGAAGAGAAGAAAAAAATGCAATGTTAAAAAAGGTTTTGACCAAAGGTCTCGATAACAAAAGTAGTGTGGGAGGAATAACCTTGAGTTTCCTCCTGGCGTTGAATTTCTTCAGGCACTCCACAGTCTCCTGTCTGTGCATCATAGACGCCACTGTAGATCGTTGCTGAGGGTTAAAGGCACAAACAAACAAATTAATAGGAAATATATATATTTGAATTCATTAGGTTTGTCAGAATAGTAAATATTGTGAATATAAAAATCCAAGGACACTTACGCAGACCCACGGGTGTTTGAGGGCCTCCTGAGCGGTGATCCTTTTGGCTGGGTTAATGGTCAGCATCTGGTTGATCAGATTTTTGGCCTCAGGGGTCACTGTGTCCCATTCTGGAGAAGGAAACTGCAGAAAGGAAAACATTTAAATTAGACGCCATTTTACAAGTTGGATCATTTTGTTTTGTTTACTACCCACAGGATGGCGCTATGTTTTCCCTATTCCTCCTTTGTTTTTTCAACTGCTTTGTAATTTATGTAATATTATTGGTTCATATATATTGACACCAGAAATAATCTTTGCAGAGATTGATTGTTCCTTGATGATCTATTCAATATCTGATTTTCCAATGCTCAAACGAATTGCCCTTGGTTGGCAGGATCGATACAAATCAATTTGGTTTTGACTTCCTTGTTTAGTCCTGGTCCAGGTTTAGTTTCCAGTTTTACACAGCTTACTTTAAATGTAAATGCACAGCATAAACCTAAACACACAATGAACATAGTTGAATGCATAAGAGCTTCCCACCAGGTTTGGAGCTATTTACTCAGTTATCAATTAAACAATATTCCATTCGATACACGCTTGTCATCAGCAAACGAACATGAATGACACATTTTGCCTGTGGAGAGCTGGCTGTTATAGCTTTACCAGAATATACCAACATTTCCCCTCACTGTGAACTCCGTACAGACTACAGAGAAACGGAGTGAAAAGTGAACACTTCCTCTCTCATCCTTTTGAATTTTCCATGAATCACAGCTACAGAATCATTGTCCTGCTCCTTGGCTTTTGCAGTTAGATGTGAGTGAAGGTACGCCTCACTATCTTGTACCCCCTGAATAATGAATGATGGGACTGTTGCGTAACTACAAGCAAAAGGAACGAGGTCAGTGAGGCGACTTAGGACCTTCCAGTAGAGAGAGGAGAGGGCAAGAGAGCGTATAAGACACAGTGACTGAGTGGTTAGCCTTACATCACCAGGATCCAGCTTTGACTCTCTTCCCAAGCTTTTTGTGAGGAGTTTCCATCATTTCCTATAGTAGTCCAGTCCCCCTCCCACTCCAAACCAGAGGCAAAAACCCCCAACCAAAGGTGGTCTTGATTTAGAATGATGTTTGGGTCCTCCTTATGTCTGAATCAAAACCTCTTATTGTACGAATTCACATGAAAACATGAAGGAATTATTGTTATGACAGCAGTTTCACTGTAAAAATACCAACACATCTTATGTGCCATTTTCACTCTTTTATGTTTAAGTTTGTCATGTTTGTAAGTGGTTAAACAACTTGACCTCACCATGGCAACACTGACAGAAACAGACAAACCCTACAACTAGGTTCACTGCTTTAGAAGAAAGATCTATTTACACATATATTTATAATATTCATTTATTTTTTGCTGATAAAATTTTCTTGTGTGTTGCCGGCCTAAGGAAGAGAGAGACAGAGAGAGAGGGCCAGAGAGAAAGAGTACTCACGTCGTAGGCCCCAGCCTTAATCTGTTGGTACAGCTTGTGCTGGTCCTCGTCCCAGAAAGGAGGGTACCCCACCAGCAGGATGTAGAGAATCACCCCTAACACACACACACACACAGAGAGAGAAATGCACAGTAAATATGATTCAATTTCATGAACCCATATGTGTGTGCCTGCTCCCAGTTCGACTCACCACAGGCCCAGATGTCCACAGGTTTACCATATGCCTCTTTCCTCAGCACTTCAGGCGAAAGGTACCCTGGTGTGCCGGCAAACCCTGTATATAAGCGTATAAGTTAAATCATTTGAATTCATAATATATTTATTGTGAAACATTGACCACTCACCACACAGATAAGTCGTTGGTGTATCTTACCAACATTAACAGCTTATACTATAGTAATAGTCAATGATTTAGATGTTGTGAGCCAGCCGATCAAGTGCATTTAGTTTGTTCATTGATTATCTGTTCAGTGTCTGCGTTTCAAATGTGAGAGCGGTTTTCACCCATAGTGTTGGCCTTAAAGCCGAAGAGGACAATTAGAGCTAGCTCAAAGAGGCTATTTGTATGTATGCAAATCTTGTTGGTATAATTGTGGTTCGGGCTCATGTTTGAAATTACATAAACCACATCACAATATAAACAGCAGGATAGAAGAAACCGCTAAACCATGGATTTTTAAATACCAAAATGATCAATGTCAAGTCAATATGAACCAGCGAGTAGGAGAAAAACGTTGTCCTGATCATTCCCCTATTGGGCTTCATTGAGCTTAATCTAAAGGTGACAAATTTTGCTTTGTTTGACATTGTATATTAAGTAACTTTATATGTGAACGATTTAAAAAAAAATTACAATTCTTTTACCCACCAAACCATGCCTGTTGATCTCCTTGAACCTCGATGGCCAGGCCAAAGTCAGCCAGTTTCACTGCTGCATTCTTGCATTTACTTGCCAGGAGAAGGTTCTCAGGCTGGACACACATTCAGACAGAAAAGCATTAATGTCATATGCTTTTTACATCCCTTGTTCAAGAAAAAGTTTCCAAATAGTAAAATCTTCAGACAGACCATGCAAGAGATGTACAGACACTGAGTGATGCCACAAGAGCTGATCTTGAGGCTACTGCATTGAAAAAGTTTAAATTCCAACACTTTGTTTTTATAATTCTCCATTGGTGCGCCGCTGTGGTCTATAGGCTCCGTCTTAGTGGCCCAGATATTGCAGCTAGGCTCATTATTCTCTGTCAGAAGAGATGTCTAATAATGGGACTCTATTCCCGGCAGTGTGCACTCTTTCACTTTCCCCATTATAATTCCGTATAGCTTGTTTAATCAATGACTACAGAGGGATGTGACAATTGTGAGTGACACATAATACACTCCAGCAATAATAACTAACAAAAAGTAAATGACACGGGATGGTTTCCTGCGGAGATTAGATTAAGCGCGCAAAGACAGTTAGAAGTCCCAGATTATATTTAGGTTTATGACACTTGCAGCTCCTGTAGCACAGTATCTTACTTCAGCTCCTGTGCCCATTTTTGTGTTGTTCTAATATTTAAGGCTGAGTTACAAAAATATGTTGCGCAGGAGAAATATACAGTGATTAAGTAATACAAGAATTACAGGTTTATCATTAACAGTTGTGAAGTATTTCAAGTCCATTTTTGGGATTGTCAACTATTAACAATTACTGATTGGTCACATAAATAAATAAAATTATGATATGAAAGGTATGTTTACATTTACAGTTATCACCATCAGAAAAAATATTATATTTGACTCAGTAAGAGTGGTCAGCATGGCGCCTTTTTACTTTCCATCACAGTGGTCACTAGGAAGCAGTAGGATCAATTGTTTTAAAGGTTTCCTCGGATGTCGGACCCCTCATCATAAAACTTACAAAACAATTGTCGACAAAACTGTGATCAAAAGTAAAGGCTCTAGGTCAAATAAATATATATTTTTCACCTAAAGATTTGCCTGAAAATATATCAACAGCACAGCCTGAATGCTGATTCACAAAGCTAAGCTTAAAGCACTTTGATTTGTTGAATTCAACCATTGATCTTGCAGCTTTGAATAATAAAGATAAAATCCTCTAATTCACTGCATCATGTCCAACAGTGCAGCAGGATGGTCCTGTCTGAGAGTGTGGGAGGATCCACTGAGGCAGCACTAATGTCACAAAGGCATAATAAATGCAATGTAGAACAAACAGGGAAACATCATGAACAAGCAGCAGTCTCATTCTCGTCTTCATCCAAAGACACAAGCAACAGAGCAGCACACGGTGCAGTGCGTCAAGGTGCATTCAAGACCTGAGTGGGTGTTTCAATCAAAAGACTGTTTGACTATTTAATGTTTCTAAAGGATACAACTTGCAATGAGAGTAATTTCAAAGAAAGTGATTTAGTTTGATATTTTGAAGGTTGACATTAAAGCCTTCTGTTATTAGTGAGGCTTGCAGTAAAGAAGAGAAGCCAATCAAGCTCTCAGACTGTAAATGTATCCATAAATAATAATAATCCACACATTTAGATTGGTTCAGATTTATTCAGACATAAAAATAGGGGACTTTAGTTTGGGAACAGAAAATAGTTTAACATGTAATTATCTAAATGTATTCAGTAATTATATATTTATCTAATACCGGCTAATACATGTCTATTCTAATTACAGTGTTGACTTTTTTTTTGCCATAACCCAATTCCTATTTTGAGTGATAGTGTCACCCAGGCTGTCCTCAGTCATCACACTATGACCTATTGCATGAAATGCTCCCTAATGCTCGGGTGTGAAACCAGATCGCCGTGGCGGCTAAATAAAGAAATAGCCACAACAGTCCTGATCAACACAACACCCTTTGCTGGAATGCCTGGATTGACATTTGGGCAAACATTTCAAACGGACAAACGGACGTGACACAACATCTGATCTCTGCATGATCTTTCAGTGGACTTCCACAAGGAATAAATATGCCCATAATATACAGAGAGCTGACGGACTGTATGAAACCAGCTGTAACTTTGAAACCTTATGTCCATGCACTAATCTAGCTCACATTGTGTCTGATAATCAATACTAAACTAGCCCCCAGAGCAATAAATAAAGCAGTGTCACATTGAGAGTCCTCGGGGGCCGCGGCGGATGGATTTATCGACCATGGCTTTGAAAAGGTCTACTCCTAAATGTTAGAGTAGGAGCTACTCTATATCAGCATGACCAGAGCAGAGGGCCACAAAAGAGAAAGAGGTCTGAGATATAGAGTTGGAAAATGAATTGGTCCATTTAAAAACTTAAATTTTAATGGATAAAATAAATTTAATAAATAAAAAATATTTACCAAAACATGACTGATAATACAATACTGACAGTAAGCTCTGTGCTGTGCCAGAAGACAATAGAAAATGACACGCATTACTCAGAGACTCTTCTCCGGAGAGCAGCTTTTACAAAAGGCTTTGCTCCATTACATAGGAATAAAGATTCTTATAACTGTGCCCATTTGTACATTTCTCTACATGGGCAATAAAGTATGAAAGAAAGTTTACTCACAGTTTACTCTTGGTTACAGTCAGTAGCAGGTGGGTTACTTGGTGTCTGTCACTAACCACAGTGTACTATGGTGTATATAAGACAACACTGCACAGGTTCATGGGATAACATGGAAAAGTACGTCTCCAATTCCCCTCGGAGCCTGTTTTCTGCTCAGAAATATCAATTTGTCTGACATTTAATTCCAAACACACTGTCCTAGGGCTAAATCTTGTGGCACGTGATTATTTGCCCATATTTGAGAGTGTCTAACAAAGGCTAAACATTACTTTCAAAACAACTTTCAAATTACTTTTCAATGTCAATATTAAACAAACCTAGAGAAGGTTGTGATGTCATCTGAGCTAGAGCATCAGAAGGAGTGTGACATACAGACGTAAACAGTCCAACACACAGACGATGACATCACAGGGTAGGACGCCCCCTTCACTCACCTTCAGGTCCCGGTGCACCACACCCATTTGATGGCAGTGAAGCACCGCCTCCAAAATCTGCTGGATGCAATGACTGCATGCAAACATCAGGGGGCGCATGTTAGTATGAGCAGCTGCAACCCACGTGCACAGGCCAGGTACAGGGTGAGGGAGGGACTGAGGGGCCTATGGAGCTTATTAAACACTTTTTGTTTTCCAAGATTGCTTAATCCTAAACTCCTTGGCATTATAATAATTTGTAAAAATAAAATAAAAAAAATAATAAAAAAAAGTCATGTGTGAATGAATATCTATCATCTGATTTCTGTCAACGTATTTTTACAAATATCAGTATCATTTAAGAGGCTATTTGCGAGACATGAATAAGACCAAATGATATAATAACCGGTCCAATATTTGTGCAAATAGCTCAGATAATATCCGTACAGAAGATGAAGAGGGAGCGATGGCAGAGACAACTGATATGAAATGTAATAACATATTGAAATGTACAGTACGCGACAGGCATCTCTATGTTTGAGCCGCACCAGACTTCTTGTGCACTGACTCTAATCAGTCTGAGGAAAAGGAACATCAACGATGAAAGCATACAGTAATTAAATAATACTGACCAAAGGCTATTTATTTTGTCAAACCCCATCTCCATTCTCTGGTTTAACTTGCAGTAGATTTTTGAAAGACAAATTAAAGTTTTAATGTATCAATGTGAAGTCAGTATAAGGCCACAATGTGCAGTGCTTTAAATGAAAGATCAAAAGGCAGAGAAGAATGTGACTACAGAACTTGCTGGACTATTAAGCGTACCTGTAAACCGCACCACCTAATATTGTTTCCAATATGCCACAGGTTTTCATGTTGTAATGTAACACTTAACCAACGTGTGGTTTAATGACAAGATGTTTGGCACTGTTGACTTGTGCTGATCAAAGCACTGTGGTAAACTGCAATCTATTTTGACAATAAACCAGCTTCCAATCCCTACTAATAATGTATGAATAAGATGAATTATTATCTTTTTTAAACCAGGGGACAGTCTTGAAAAATAGAAATACATACATTGGCTGCATTGGTAAATAATACTATATATGTATATGAATATATATTTTTACTATTTAGATCCAAGCTTGAACAGATGTTCTAATGTAATACAAAACGAAAGTGCTGCAGGTGTGGTGATCCTCGGTGATCCTCAAATGAACGTGATGTGGTGATTTTGGAAGTTGCTCAAAATAAAAGCAGGCATAAGTGACAGCAACCCACCTCCTGTTGTATAAATTACATTTTAAATATCTCGATAAGACCCGAACACTCCTGTTATTTATAGAGAGACAGATAGAAAGATAGATGTAGTACTTGCAAATCTTGGCATGTAAAGTTATATCCGCTGGTTTAGGACAAATCCACAAGCTTTAAATCCTATGTTTGTTACGCTACAAATAACAGTTTAACTTCAACTGTAGCAACTCATTCGAGGAGAGAAAATCAGCTAGACTGATGTGTGGGCTTTGCTTGCAAAATGTAGACACATAAATTAGCAATATTTAAACCAAGTACATAGCGCTTTGTTTCAGCTTTCCTTCAGATCTTTGGTGCTACACTCCTTACTGCTGGAGGAGTAGGAGGAGACTTGAAATATATTTACAAGAATCGCTATTGATTTCTGTTTTCAGAGCCCCATTGGGAGACTTACAGTATAACCGCTGTGTGGCGATAGTAAACTCTGACATTTATCACAGCCGCGACAGGTCCGCGCAATGATTTGTCAGTGCAACAGGAGACGTTTATGTGGTGGCTGCGAGTGTGGGAACGGGAAATGGCAGGGGGCGAGGGAATACGAGAAATATTATTTTGTTTTCAAAGCATGGCAAGAACGAGCATTCTCAGGCAAAAAAACAGGCAGTTTTTACGAGACAAGACCAAGGGTGAGAGGGCTGTAGGGGAGAAAGCAATCAGGAGAAGAGATGCAGATGCCCCTAAACATGTACTAACCTTTAGGTCTCTGTGCACTATGTCATGTTGGTGAATGTGATGAACACTTTCTAGAATCTGATGGATACAGTGACTGTGAAGACAAAACAGAGAGTAGGGGAGGAGGTGGGGGGAAAAGGACAACAAGTGATGATAGAGGAGAGGTGAAAGAAGTGCAGGAAGGACAAGGGAGCAGATAGGGACAGTTTCTTAATAAAACTTGTGTAACAGAACGAAACATGCTGGGTACAGTATAAGGACCGGAGATATAGGATGGGAAGTGAAGTGAAGGGATGAATTTTGTGTTGAATGGGCTGGAAACAATAACATATCATACCAAGGGAGAGACACTCAGTTTAAGTCAATATAAAATGGCACACTTTTCTTTCCTCTTTTAAGACATTACTAAATAGCACAACTATACAAGAGGAGTCATAACAGAATGATCCTAAAGCTGGACAACCAAACTTTTTTGATCGTCCCAACAGAAAGCCTTGTTTAAGTGACATTTTGTAAACAAGACCACAACATGCTGTCTTTTCTTATTAGAAAGATCTTGTTATATTTTGCATTCTGAGAACCGATTGGCTGAGTGACAGGTGGCACTCTCTTCTTCACAGAAAAAACTGATTTGACAGGCCAAAAAATGTGTGTGAAAACTATAGAAAGAACCAAACAAAATCAAGAGCGAGGAACTAGTTAGATGACCTTTGTTATGTTTTTTTTTTATGATGATTTCAACTAAACTCCCTCAGCATCAAAAGTAACTGCATTAGCTTGTTTCAATGTGAACTATGTTTTTCATAATGCTTGTCTATTTTGGGTGGTGTTTTTACAAATAAAATTAATTTTTGGATGATGGATGGGTCCATTAAATTAGCTGAGGCCTTTCCTAAGAATTACAATATCAACTTATTGTTCAATAACTTAGGTGTAGAATCTAAAATCTGTTGTGTTTTTGTAATACTTTTTTTCTGTAGCGGTTTGAAAAAGTAATTTTGTATGGGTAAATACTTCATATAACTGTTTCTAAAGGTCTCACAGACATTCTTAGGGGGATCATAGCTTCCAAAACCATTGGATCCAAAAACATAATGCGTGTAAAGCATGTTGTCCACAGTAACAGTTTGGTCCGTCAGATTCTTATATGTAAAAACTCCTATCAGCATGACAGAGACAACGATTACCCATAAAACCGGGCAAACGATCAATCATAACGTATTGTCTCATGATTTTAATTTAATTAAATAAATGCATGTAACAATATTGTTTTTATAAAATAGATAAAAGTACAGTGGAAATGGTTTGAGATGCTTGAAGGACAATCTATGTTCAGTTTTGTGGAACTTTGCGTGGCTAACCTGTCAGACAGCATCTTCGTCATCGTCCCCTTCACTGTACACTTTGTGCCTGTCATTTCAAGACTCCTGTATTTCTGAGCGGCTGGTGGGAAAATGTGCTGGGCTGATAAAAATGTTTCACACATACCAAATGTGATTTGCATCTCGCTAAATTCATAGCGACATGAGAAAAAGGCTAAGAGATACTTGACATGCCCTCAGCGGATGGTACCACCTCGCCCTATGATGATTAAGAGGGGGAAAAATACTGTTGATGAATATCGGATCGGTGATGATGCAACATTTATGTCTCATTTGTGTTCAGGAAAATATGTCCTTAATATGATGCAAAGAACATATATATTTTAAAAAAAAACATAAATAATGGCATGTGCATTTATTTTTGATTATTTTATAATCTAGCATCTTAATCCTATAGGCTTTTCCTGCTTGTCTACATTGAGAGATTATTGCTTTACCAAAAATGTTACAGTATGGAAATAAAGCAATGATTCTAAACAGGGGAATGACACCAGGACATTTTAACAATATAGGCGAAGCCTTGAACATTACACAATGAAGAGAGGCCACTTTACTCACATTTCAAGCAGGGTTTAGCTCTATAATATATTCACTTGCAATTTAATTAATACCAAGTACAGTATACTTTTCCAGAGAAACAAGCAAGTTACGGTCCCCCACCAGAAAAGTGACTAGAGTTGGTGACAAAAGATGACATTATCCCCTACTTAGTTTTGATTGGCTGAAACACTGGGAGGAAAATTGGTTTGATAGGGGGCGACAAACTGAGAAGTGGCACAGTTTCAGAGGTGTGCGTGAGCTGCCTGTGTGCATGGCTAATTACTGACACTAATTAAAGTCCTACTTCTAGTCGGCCTCCAGGGGTGAGAGGAACGAAGCTGAGAGCACTAATGGCCTCAATGACTGACATTCACCAGGCGACGAAAGGGTGCATCCGTATACATTCGGATCACCTGCATAATACAAAGTTTGAACTGCAATATTCAAACTGCAAATTACAAGCAAACAGATAATTTAACAATTAATACTGTCTGTCTACTTTTGTCCTTATTCCTTATAAGCCAATGGAGTAAGTAACATTTCCATTCACATCATAATTGCCTGTGACTAATCAATCAGCTCCAGCTAATCAGTGATGAATAATGACCAAATAATATATGTCCGTTTTTGAAACTTAACTTTCTTGAAATTGATGGTCCTAAATTGTGCTTTTAGTATGGGTGTGTTGGGGAATATGAGTAATATTTTTGACACAAGAAATGACTAGTGTCAGAACAGGCACATCTTCCTGAGAATAAGATAAGTCATTTTCAATAAAACATGTTCATTTTTAATAGAGCGATAATTAAAAAACCTAAAAAGTACTAAACAGATAAAAACATACAGATGTTGTGTTAGAAAATATATATATATAAAATATATGAAGTCTGAAAAACTGTAGGGCCACTTCACACAATAAACAAACAACTGTGAACTGAAGCAGCCTCAGCTCAAATTTAAAAGTTACATTTGTTTTTGCTTAGACCCACGGTGTGAAAAGACGTTCTATAATTTCTCCGCTAAAATACTTGTGAATCTACTGTCAGCAAAACTATTGTTAAGAACTGATAAAATACTGTGGTGTTGTGACCTTTTCACGGAGCGACAAGTGAGCTCGCTACGGCTGCCAGGAACTTAAGACCTCACAGCACTGCCCATGTGTACAGTATCTATAACACTTTATGCCAAAGATTATAAGCAATAATCCATTCATTCACATTCTGCAGGGGACCTACATTCCTAAAATATTTTAAGGGCCATTAAAAAAAATTCTGTCAATTAAGAAAAACTTCAAACAGAACTCTTTGGATCACCAACAAATGGCTGGACTCTTAGTGAAGCTGAGGTCCATAAGTTTTGGCCTCAGGTGACTCATTTACTCTAATTATAAGCGGGAACAATCTCTGCATGGAGAAATATGAAATTCTGAGTCTGCCTAAATGTATTTGACTGAATGACAAAATGCTGGGTTGAAACAATTTTGTGTTTAAACACAGTTTAAACACAGCGTTCTATAATTTAAACACAGTTTAAACACAGCATAACACTGTTCAATTGTCCATCCATCCATCCATTTTCTACCCTTTAATCCATTTCTGGGTCAGGGGGGTGGCAGTCAGAGATGCCACCCAAGTCTCATAGCACCCGCCCCTCACTGACCCTCTGCAGGTGGTGAGTCCACAGGAGGACGGCTGCTCTCTGAGTGTGAGCATAGCCTTGATCTTTCAGTGGGGGCTTTGGGCAAAGTGGGGTTAAGTGTCTTGCCCAAGGACACAACGACAGCAGTCATCAGTGGGAGTCGGTGGAGAAGGTGTAGAGGTGGGAATTGAACCCACGACCTTCTGGCCTTAAGGCCAATGCTCTACCAACTGAGCTACTATCGCCCCCTGTTCAATTGTTCTCGCAGTATATTACATTACAAGTAGGGCTGGGCGAAAAGTAAAATCTCAATTTTATTTCCTGCTTTGGACGATTTAGATTTTAAATCAATTTTCATTAAAGTCACTGAAGACAGACTATTCAAGTTTTAAAACTATTTTTAAATTGTTTATAAAAGTCTTGTACAGACTGTGCTGATATTGCAAGTATAATTCTTGCGCTGCTGGAACTCTCACAATATCCTTCATTCGATTTCACGATTTTCACATTTTTCACAAATTGGATTTTTTCAAAAGCTGATTAATTGCCTAAATTCGATTTATTGCCCAGCCCTAATTACAAGGATACAAAGTATCAAAGACAGACGCAGGACGCACTAGATATGCAATACATTTCATTCATGTTTTGATGATTTCATCAACACAAAGAAAAACGGTTACATATTACAGGTGCACAATTACTTTGTTACTTTTCTGATGGGTGTGGGATCATTGAGAATTATGATGGTTATGATTATTGGTTTTATAATACAGTGAAACAACTCAGTCAAAGGGTACGAGGCCAAACAGGTGTGATGGGGGGTGCCCTCATGTTACGCCCTGCATCATAAATGACAGCAGTACATGGAACACTTCTTTAGTGTAAGAAAGACAACACGACTGCACAGATTCTCAAGCTCTGAATCCCGTTCCAACCTCACAAAAGATGTAAACAATAATCTTAATATCTGGCAATAGATATGTAAAATGACAATGATATTAAAGCAACAAGAACACCGAAAAAGTGGTGTTTTGTGGAGAGTTGTTGGGGAATATGGAAGTGAGTGTGAATAGTATAGATTAAAGGGGGGATAGGGGAAGGACACACACAACAACACAATACTAGACACTCAGAAAGCCGTTCTTGTACCTTGCATCTGCCTCACTGTAGTATTCTCTGGCTACAATGTCCTCAAAGAGTTCCCCTCCGGTCACCCTGCGCAAAGCAAGAGTCAAAGTTAGATTTGAACAAACGTAGTGTGTACTTCAAACTGGCAAAACATATAAAGTTAGAGTTACAAACAGGCAGAAATGTTTAAAATGTTTTTGGGCTTTTATTTTGCTAATAATTTTGAAATTATAATGACAACAGAAATTCCTCTCTTGACCCTGGTTCTTTATCCTCTCTGATGGTAGAGCTGCTCTTACTTCTTGGGGAAAAAAGCCTCTAGTTCCTGTAAATTCCAGGGCTGCCTTGTGTGAACTGCACATTTGTGAACTGCACATTTGAGATTTCCCCAGCTGTATGAACAATAAATAGCCTCTTCACAAAACCACTTAGTTAGTGCTACGTTCCATGTACTTGATCAAAATGAGCTATGCTCCAGTGCAGTTGTAACTAATTTGGCAAACTTGGCCCGACTTCTGCAAATTGTTGGAAAGGAATAAATTGCATTTTGGATTATTTTATTGAGAGAGAGAGAGCCTCCTATTTGAAAACATTGTATAAGTTGCATATGTAGGAAAGAGCTGTGTGACGCTCTGACTGGCTGAATGAGGGAAGTCCTCTCTTTGTCACTTTTCTGTGTGAAAAAGTTGATTTAAAGAAGCCTACAACACATTGTTATGTGAAACATGTCAGAGAACTAGAGACAGAATAGTTTTGTGAGTACAATATATTCAACTTCAATGTGTTGTTTATTGGGGTCTCTTTTTTTGGATCAGAAAATCAAGCCAAGGAAGTCAGGATTTTCAGAATTTTGAAAAAACTAGTTCTTCCATCAAGTCTCCTCCTTTTGGGTTTCCAGGAACTCCGCCCAAAAGTCAACAAACCTAAAAATTAATCTCTGTTCTTAAACATTTACAAAAACACGCTGGACTAAAACCAATATTCACACAACAATGAATTCCTGTAAGTTCAAGATGTACAGGAATGCATTGTTTGTTCACTAGAAACTAAAATCATGTAGCAAAAGAAAAATAACGTGCAAATTGTCCACTTGATTTAGCCCCCCACCCCGCCACCCCTATTTCATACGGCACCGTCGCTATGGAAACTGGAGGGAAGATGCCGAGAGAGGGCTGAATGTAGAAGGCGTGGGCGGCGGAGGGAGGTGGGGTAGTTTCAAATATAGGAGAGGATTATGTAAGCATGTGCACGTTAGAATGGGCGGAGAAGCGGTATGTATAGAGAGAACGTTAAAAAGACTTACAGGTCGAACAGCAGGTAGTGAAAGCCCTCCTCTGATATACTGTCATGAAGACGCACTGGGGGAAGAGAAGCATCTTATTTCTGGTGCAGTTGTTCCAATGATATATTTCTTACATAATCTGCTTTTAGATTAATTCATTAATACATATTTAAGAGGCTAAATCCAAGCAGCAGGTTTGCCGCATTATGAAACGTGTGTGTTAAAATAGATATGACCAAACAATAGTGAAATGCATATTTTTTTCTTAATATTGTCAAATGCGTTTGCAGTTTGGCTACAGTTACAAAATAATTATATTTGTGTATTCCATAGGACTTCTTTTGGCTTTTTTTTTTGAATTATATTTTAAACTGTCAACAAATATTGATTTACACAAAAATAAAAAACAGAGCTTTTTGTTTTTTCTCCTGTGTCTCATTGGTTCGATTTATAGCTATAAAACTGTCTACACGCACAGAAGCCCATTGTTCACTGATGTGTCAAGATGTGTTTGAGTGAGCACTTCACACTGTTAACATGTCTCACAGGTGTAGCATGAAGAGATGCTGATTATACACCATGAAGACAGCACAGTTTTATTTTATGGAGAGGTCTGGACGAGGTTAAAATCCCGTCAGTATCAGGTCTGAACACAATTTTTCCTTTCCTCCTGCAACACTTTGAAAAGAGTTGACCAGGTTGTTGGTCGTGGTCTGTGGTATGTGTTTCTACTCTTCAGTGTGCAAAGTGGCTGGGCATGTCACCCACAGCCCATGTTTGGGATGCTCTGGATGGCTAAATACAACAGGGTCTTCCAGTTCCTGCCAATATCCAGCCACCTCATACAGGGAGGAGGTGAATCAACGTTCAACAGGATTTGTTGCAGTGAGCGCGGCAAATTGTAGCCTTTTTTGTGGACAAACTGAGACTTATCTTTGCAGTATTCATGCCGTCTAATCACTGAAACACAATTGTGAACAATATCTGATAGAGATGGGTCTATTGTGCTTATACAGAGTTTTTGAGCTTTAAGTGGAACCCATGAAAAATGGGAGTGCAAAAGGGCTGCATTTACATTCTAGTTCAATACACAAATACATTTTAGCATCACTAGTAAACTGAGGTAATAACACATTGAATACATCACTAAATACAAGGACATACCAATGTTGGGGTGTTTTAGGAGGCGACAAATTCGGGCTTCTCGTTCCAGCTTCTGATGATCTAAACCACAAAAAGAAAAACAAACATCTCAGTTTATAAATTAATTTTATATTTGTGCTGAAAAAAAGGTTAAGGTATATTTTGCCCATCACGGTAGACAAAGACATTCAATTTTAGTATTGAGTCTAGTATTGTGCTGGAATACTATGGCTGTAGGTTTACTCAGTGTTGCAACAAAAGTAATGAATTTATTGTGTGTGTGAATGTGTTAAAACCCACAAAGATGCCAGTCATAGCATAAAAAAACCATGTCAAACCATCCATCGTCAAGATTAACAAGTGGAAACACGGGTCAATCTTAAACAAAGATTACAGACTCTTGTCAACCTGGATTCTACAGCGCTTAGACGAGCAGCACTTTGAGCGGTCCAGGGCGCCACAGGGGGTTAACCACCTTCATGATCTTCCCTGTCATGTTCCTTGCCACACATGGGCAGCACCCCCACACTGAGACAGAGGAGTGACAGTCAAGTGGAAGCCCTGTGATTATAGGCTTTTGGACGAGAGGAGCGAGGCGGAGGAGTGGAGGAAAGCAGGGGATACAAAAACAAATTTTTCCTCATGCTGGTCAAGCACAAGGTTTGTCTTTAGGCGAATGTTGATTTTCTAACTTTACATTGTTCACTTTTTAATACAAACTAGTGTCAAATTACGTATTTTTACTGACATGTAGGGCTCAAGTTCATGACAGTTAATAGATTGGGCTTATGTCCAATGGTTCCCTGTGCAAATGGCATTGTTTGCATGAAATACTGTGAGCAAATGGTAGATTTTCTATCAGATAGAAGGTCAGTTTGCCCAGGCTCAGACTAACAAACATAAAAAGGATCAATAAATACAGAAACATGTTGAAAACAATAATTGTTTCTTACTAATTACAAAATCAGATGCATGCTGTCAGGAGAGATGATAAGAGTATATTTATACAAATTGAATAGATAGTGCAACTCCTTACTTCTGCAGAGTTGCATGATGCATGAGCTAATGCTCCAAACAATTGTTGTTCTAATATGTGCCATGTGCATCTGAGCCAGAGCAAACAGATGGCTGCTATTGTCTCCACATTAATAAGAGTCTGTCTGAAATAGTTGTCATATGCCATTATCTACTTTTTTCTCTAAAATGTCAATAATGGAAGAAACAGTCCATTATGGCCAAGTACTTTAGGCATCTCCATGTGGAGACAAAACGGCTCATAGTTTTGAATCTGCAACCTGGGACTCTGTTTTATAAGGTGTCAAAAGTGAACTTTTACTGGTACAACTGATTCCTCTCTGTCTGTCTTTAGGGTCTGTTATAGTCTAAAGACACTGACAAAATAATATAAGAATAACTTTACTGATCAAAAAGGACAGCTTAAAGTGAATGCCAGTTACTTTTCATATTGTGAAAAGAGTCCAGGTCTTTAATTGGTCAAGCATTTTCCTCCAGCAAATCTGGTGGTGGTGGTGGTCAAACTTTACATTGTCATACTGGACATGATTTTCATATATCCAAATGAAGTGCATTTCAAGAAGCCTACCAAACTGACTAAACTGGGACGACACTCCACCTTTACTTTCCATGGACTATTTGAACAAGATTACAAGATTAACCTTGACCTGTTCATACCAGAAACAAACCAGAAACAAACCAGCATGAACTATTCTGGAGCCAATGACACAGGAAATAGAGAAGGAAGACAGAAAGGGGAAGGTGGGAAGTGCCAGAGAAGACTGTGAGTTTGTGACTCATTTTTTGCGCAGATCCAAGTACACAGTATGGACTTCGAAAATGTTCCATAATCTTTAAGTGAGTACAGTGCCTTGCAAAAGTATTCGGCCCGCTTGATCCTTTCAACATTTCGCCACATTTCAGGCTTCAAACATAAAGATATAAAATTTTAATTTTTTGTCATGAATCAACAACAAGTGGGACACAATCGTGAAGTGGGACGAAATGTATTGGATAATTTAAACTTCTTTAACAAATAAAAAACTGAAAAGTGGGGCGTGCAATATTATTCGGCCCCTTTACTTTCAGTGCAGCAAACTCAGTCCAGAAGTTCAGTGAGGATCTTTGAATGATCCAATGTTGTCCTAAATGACTGATGATGATAAATAGAATGCACCTGTGTGTAATCAAGTCTCCGTATAAATGCACCTGCTCTTTGATAGTCTCAGGGTTCTGTTTAAAGCACAGAGAGAACCATGAAGACAAAGGAACACACCAGGCAGGTCCGAGATACTGTTGTGGAGAAGTTTAAAGCCGGATTTGGATACACAAATATTTCCCAAGCTTTAAACATCTCAAGGAGCACTGTGCAAGCAATTATATTGAAATGGAAGGAGTATCAGACCACTGCAAAACTACCAAGACCCGGCCGTCCCTCCAAACTTTCATCTCAAACAAGGAGAAGACTGATCAGAGATGCAGCCAAGAGGCCCATGATCACTCTGTATGAACTGCAGATAACTACAGCTGAGGTGGGAGAGTCTGTTCATAGGACAACAATCAGTCGTGCACTGCACAAATCTGGCCTTTATGGAAGAGTGGCAAGAAGAAAGCCATTTCTCAAAGATATCCAGTAAAAGTCTCTTAAAGTTTGCCACAAGCCACCTGGGAGACACACCAAACATGTGGAAGAAGCTGCTCCGGTCAGAAGGTGCTCCAAAATCGAAACTTTTTGGCCACAATGCAAAACGATATGTTTGGCGTAAAAGCAACACAGCTCATCACCCTGAAGACACCATCCCCACTGTCAAACATGGTGGTGGCAGCATCATGCTTTGGGCCTGCTTTTCTTCAGCAGGGACAGGGAAGATGGCTAAAATTGATGGGAAGATGGATGGAGCCAAATACAGGACCATTCTGGAAGAAAACCTGTTGGAGTCTGCAAAAGACCTGAGACTGGGACGGAGATTTATCTTCCAACAGGACAATGATCCAAAACATAAAGCCAAATCTACAATGGAATGGTTCACAAATAGACGTATCCAGGTGTTAGAATGGCCAAGTCAAAGTCCAGACCTGAATCCAATCGAGAATCTGTGGAAAGAGCTGAAGACTGCTGTTCACAAACGCTCTCCATCCAACCTCACTGAGCTCGAGCTGTTTTGCAAGGAAGAATGGGAAAGAATTCCAGTCTCTCGATGTGCAAAACTGATAGAGACATACCCCAAGCAACTTGCAGCTGTAATTGCAGCAAAAGGTGGCGCTACAAAGTCTTAGCGCAAGGGGGCCGAATAATATTGCACGCCCCACTTTTCAGTTTATTATTTGTTAAAAAAGTTTAAATTATCCAATAAATTTCGTTTCACTTCACGATTGTGTCCCACTTGTTGTTTATTCTTGACAAAAAATTTAATTTTTATATCTTTATGTTTGAAGCCTGAAATGTGGCGAAATGTTGAAAGGTTCAAGGGGGCCGAATACTTTCGCAAGACACCGTAGCTAGTGAAATATGGTACGCAATACACGTAAAACAATATCTTAGAAAAAGTCCACATCACCAACATCAACACAACACAAGTACCTTGGCATATAGTCAAGACAGTGTCACTTTAGTTTTAGATGAACGCTAATGGTTGGAGTTTTCATTTTTGCATATGGACCTGATATAAATGCAGTCACTACATATCATGAGCAGGTGTTTGTCTGCCAGACGTGTGACTCAGAGTGTTATTTCAAAAACTGTGAAAAAAATGGTACAGCTGTCCTTTTCAGGTCTTGTTGAAAATAAGCAATGGAGTGACTTAGTGCTCATGTCCACATCTGTCCTTTGTGACACACAAACTGCTTCTTGGTCAAACCAGGTCAGACCTCTTTCAGGCCTCTTCACTACATCACAGGCCACTCGCTGCTTTGCACATCAGATAGTCTCTGATGTTGTATGAATAGAGTAAATACCAATCATCAAAATTAATCATAATTTTCCCCTCCAGGCAAAGCAGACGCATCAGGAGGAACTCATATCTTCCATAGTCAATCAGTGAATGACTTTACGTATGAGCAAAAATGAAACTGAAAGAACACCCCAATTTTCACTTTATATTCAAGTAATGAAAACAGCACACTGGGTCTAACACATTTATAATCGTGAATAGAAAAATTATGCAATCTAAAACAATATACCCTCTGTTTTTCAAACTACATACACAGTTAAATCACATATTAACTGAACTTTTGGGGTCAAAACAACAATGGAAAGAATAATCAGCAAAAGAATCACTTCTCAAAATAATAACTACAGCCCTAAAACTCACTACGTTTCTTCTAAAATAGGGTTTAAACAAATAAAAACAAAAGAAACAGGCATTTAACTTTCTGCATATAATTTAATAATAAAGAGTGCATTTAAAAAGTAATCTCTATTTAGATTTTTGCTTTTAAACAGACTGACCCTATAAAATTGGGTGTATTTTCCATCAGCAAGTGATTATGGTGCTACGCCGCTACAGCAGCCCTGAGGCATTCTGACAGAAGAGAGACCGCAGTCCATGGTGGCACTGAACCCATGAAGACCATCCATTTATTCACTCACTCATCTTTGAGATAATAGTAAAGCTGTAATTACCATTTTATTTTGATACATTGATTAGTTGTCCAATTTTTCAATTAGCTGGTTAGATTCCAAAAGGTGAGAGAATATGGGATTTTATTAGCCTGGTCGTACCACACCATAGTACAAATTAGATTTCGTACTTAGATCTGCGACTGCTCCATTGAGCTTTGTTAACAGGTGGGAGGGGTTAACTCCTTTTGCAGATTGAAACGATTGGATCTGAGTTTACCGCGACGTACGTAATGTGCCCGAGTGAGTCGTTAGCATTTAGCCTAGCCATCTCCTTTGCCGCTAACGAAGCCCGTGGGGAGTAGCGCCACTTTGCCTGCAATTACATTTTCTAAACATTCCTCTTGCTCCGGCTTCAATTTCTTAAAAGAACCAGACCGGAATACTGTACTATGGCATTCTTCACTATTGCCAAACTACAACCTGTCCGTTCGGCGCAAACTATTGA